GATAACATTTTGAAGCTAATACAATTCTTATTTTGTGATTTTAATGTTCCTAAGTTTCTCTCTATTGCAGGAACTTAATGAACTGAGAGAGACAGAAGGGGGTACTGTTCTTACTGCCACAACATCAGAACTCGAAGCCATCAATAAAAGAGTAAAAGATACTATGGCACGATCAGAAGGTGTGTTTCTATATAGTAAAACTTTCTGGTATTGGGGCCAGTGAGTGGCATAGTGGTTGGGGCACTGGACTCCCACATGGCCAATTAAGGTTCAAGTCATGGACCTGGTGGCTGAAAAATTATGCCGGGAGTGTGTGTGTGTGTGTGTGTGTGTGTGTGTGTGTGCACGCGCATGTGTGCACATGGCCCAGATCCCAAGAGTGGAGTGGAGTAGAAGGGATTGCGGCATTGCCATCTTCCTTGGGGGTGCTTTCTTGTTTTGTCTTTTTCTCTCCTTCACAAGCACTTGTGCCCCATGACTAAACTTAAAAAAAAAAAAAAATTGAAAACTATACTTGAATGACTCATCTATGCTACTAATTTTGTTGTGACAAAACTGACTTATGAATTTTTATGGTAAAATCTGAACAACTGAAAAAAAAATCCTTGTTTTTTTATAGATTTGAGCATTAAAATATTTGCTCAGGTAATACTCTGGCTTTAAAATAGGCATTATAGGGGCCAGCAGGTGGCATGGTGGTTAAAGGATTCCCACATGGCCGACTGCAGTTTGAATCCTGGACCTGGCGACTTGTTTTCTCACTTCCCTTTCTTTCTCTCTCTCTCTCTCTCTGGTCAAAGAAATAATAGCAACAAATGGAATTAAATAAATATTTTTAAAATAGGCATTATAGCCCAATATTGTTTTTTTTTTTTTTTCCTTCTATTAGATTTGGACAATTCCATTGATAAAACAGAAGCTGGAATTAAAGAGCTTCAGAAGAGTATGGAGCGGTGGAAGAATATGGAAAAAGAACATATGGATGCTATAAATCATGATACTAAAGAACTGGAAAAGATGACAAATCGACAGGGCATGCTGTTAAAGAAGAAGGAAGAGTGTATGAAGAAAATTCGAGAACTTGGATCACTTCCCCAGGAAGCATTTGAAAAGTACCAGACATTGAGCCTCAAACAAGTAAATCTTGTTGATTTAAAATCTTAAAACTTGTTGCAAATTACTCTGTATGCGAGTTTATTTATACATTCTTTTCTCTTTGTAGTTGTTTCGAAAACTTGAACAGTGCAACACAGAATTAAAGAAGTACAGCCATGTTAACAAAAAAGCTTTAGATCAGTTTGTAAATTTCTCTGAGCAAAAAGAAAAGTTAATAAAGCGACAGGAAGAGTTAGATAGGGGATACAAATCTATCATGGAACTGATGAACGTACTTGAACTTCGAAAATATGAAGCTATTCAGTTAACTTTCAAACAGGTATGTGACGTGTATAGTTAAAAACACACATACGGGGGGGGGCCATCAGGTGGCCTCATGATTATAGTGCTAGACTCCCACACAGCCAACTGTGATTCAAGTCCTGTGCCTAGCAGCCTGAAAACCACTTAGGGCACGGGTAAGTGTGTGCCCAAAATCCCAGGAGGAGAATGGAGGAGAAGAGATTATGATGTGGCCATCTTCAGCTCGTAGTTTGTAAAGATTCTAAAGCTTTTATTCCATTGACCCAGGGGGTGGGATGCTAATACACCTGAGCAGATCCAGCACGTAAGTTGCTAACATGTAGTAACTTCATTGTTTTGTACAACTCTTAAAAGGATTGAATCTGTTGTTATTTTCTTAAGATTAAAAAATATTTCTGATTGCTTTTAAGTGTTTTGGGCAGTGATACGTGTAATTCTACCTAGGTGAAATCTATTTGAATCAACGCTTTTTTTTTTTTTTTAAAGGTGTCCAAGAACTTCAGTGAAGTATTCCAGAAATTAGTACCTGGTGGCAAAGCTACTTTGGTGATGAAGAAAGGCGATGTAGAAGGCAGTCAGTCTCAGGATGAAGGAGAAGGAAGTGGTGAAAGCGAGAGAGGTTCTGGGTCACAAAGCAGTGTCCCATCAGTTGACCAGTTCACTGGAGTCGGAATCAGGGTAAGACACTTTCATGTTCAGTTTTCTTCAGAGCATTTCCCTAATAGAATTTATAGGATTTTATAAATCTATAAATCTAGATTGGTGCATTTTATGCAACTCCATTTTAAGTGATGATTCTATCCCTTTAGAATGTTAACTCATAATATGTTTCCTTAGGTGTCTTTTACAGGAAAACAAGGTGAAATGAGAGAAATGCAACAACTTTCAGGTGGACAGAAATCCTTGGTAGCCCTTGCTCTGATTTTTGCCATACAGAAATGTGACCCAGCCCCTTTTTACTTGTTTGATGAAATTGACCAGGCTCTGGATGCTCAGCACAGGAAGGCTGTGTCAGGTATACTTTTGATTGTATACTTAACATGAGAACTTGCTTAGAGATCCACAGCTTAACTTTGTTGTTGTAGTTTCTTACTGCCTGAGCTATTTGGGGAGACACTAAACAGGGTAAAATGTATATTTAATAAGAAAAGTAATTTCATTTTAATCCGATTTCTACAAGTTTAATATGAGACTGCTTTATAAAGTTTAGTTCTGCGAGAAGTAGATGTAACTCTTTGAATCAGTTGAAAATCCTACACTAAACTTTTGCAGAAGTCTCTCCTTTTAAAATTTTTTAGTCCCTTTCATAAAATTGATTCTGTATTTAGAGAACCTAATTATGATCCTGAGTAAGTTTAAAAGGTCTTTTGGGGAGCAGATAGCAGAGTCAAGGTTGTTTTTGTTTGTTTGTGTGAGAAAACTTACACTGTTCTGACATTGTTTTTTTTTTTAATTTACTCATTCTTTTTTTTTTTTTTTTTAATTTGACCAGAGGAAGAGAGAGGGAGGGAGGGAGGGTGGGAGAGTGAGAAAGCAAGCCACCAGGTCCAGGACTCAAACCATGGTTGGCCATGTGGGAGTGTCCAGTATCTTAACCACCACGCCACCTGCTGGTCCCATACTGTCTGACATTTCTAATGCTATGTTAGAAAATGTTTCTTCTCTGAGCAAGAGAGAACACCAGTCCCAACAGTATCTTTTTTGTAAGTTTTATTTATTTATTTATTACATGAGAGAGACAGCATCCCCAAAAGGGTGCTGACACTGAAATGTACCCCCACTTTGGCTAGCTCCAGATTGTAGACATATATGTGCTTTGTGTACTCAGGGAGGTTTTTCAGATGTGAACCTAGAACCTTTCCATGTGGATCAGCCTCACAGAGACTTTTATTTTACCAGTGTACTTTCATCCAGACCACTTTCACTTTTTTTTTTTAAGAATAACTTATTTTATTTTATTTGTTTATTCTTATTCTTCAATTTGATGAGAGCGAGGCAGAGAAAGAGAGAGAGAGTGAGAAAACAAATTGCCAGGTCCGAGACTTGAACTGTTGTTAGCCATGTGGGAATTCAGTGCCCCAACCATCATACTACCTGCCAGCCCCAACCACCTCCCCTTTTTAAAGAATCTGCTAGAGGGAACCAGCAGTTAGCGTAATGGCTATGTCGCTGGACTCCTACGTAGTTGACCGCAGTTCGTGTCCCGGACCCGGTAGCTTAAAACTACTGCCAGGCGCGTGTGTGTGCGTGCCCAAGATCCTGAGAGGAGAATGGAGGAGAAGGGATTGCGGCATGACCATCCCCCCTGGGGGGTAATTTCTCGCTTTCTGTCTCTGTCTCTCTGTCTGGCAAGCACACGCGCCCTATAGCGAAAACCTCTCAAAAAAAGAAAAAGAATCTGTTAGAGGGTACAAGTGCTTGCTGGAGGAAGACTAGGGGCAGGGGGAGGGAGTGAGAAAGCATCGATAGCCACACCACAATCCCTTCTCCATTTCTCACTTCAGGATTATGGGCGTGCATGCATGCACACATGTCCAGCCTGTTTTTCAAGCCACTGGGTCTAGGATGTCAACTGCACGGTTGGCCATGTGGGATCTGGCAGCGTTAGCCACCATGCCACCTCCACCTAGCCCTTCTTTTTTTTTTTTTTAATTGCCAGAGGGCATGTGTTCTTGCCAAAGAGAAACAGAGGAAGAGGGCACCTCTTGATAGGGCATAGTCATGCTCAATTCCTTGTCCTCCAGCATGATGGGATTTGGGGTGCACGCACACAGACACCCAGCGTGATTTTTTTTTAAGCCACTGGGACTAAAAGTTGTACTGTGGTGGCTGTGTGGGATCGAGCTCTTAGCTCCTACTGGGTTGACCCTTCTTTTTGCTGTCAAATAAAAACTTCACGTTCTATAACTTTTAAGATATTGGGGTTTAGGGCCAGCAGGTGGCATGTTGGTTAAGACAGCTGGACTCCCACATGGCTGATTGGTTCAATTCCTGGACCTGACAGCTTGCTTTCTCATTTTCCTTGTCTGTCTGTCTGTCTTTGTCTCTCTGATCACCTTCAAAAAAATAAAAGTAAAATAATGACAATGAATAAAATTAAATGGAGTAATTCTTTTAGAAAAAAAACGGTATTGGGGTTAAAGAGTTACACTTAATTTAAGAAATCAGGTTGGTAATTTTGTAGATTTATGTATGAAAAATAAAAGGCATTGACTGCAGTTTTGAGTTTTACATGAGTAGAGTTAGGGACCAGTAGAAGACATAATGATTATATCACTGGATTTGCATGTAGTCTGCAGCAATTCAAAACCCTGGACATGGCTGCTTAATCTTCACACCGGGCACAGGTGCATGTGTGCCCACCCAAGATCCCAACAAGAGAATGGAGGAGAAGAGGGTTGCATCATGGCCATCCTCCCCAGGGGTGATATCTCGCTTTCTGTCTCTGTCGGTCTCTGTCTCTCCAGCGAGCACATGTGCCCTGTAGCAAAAATCTCTCAAAAAAATAAAAAGAAGATAGTTTTTAAATTTTTTATATCTTGAGAATAGGAATTTATAAGTTGCTATTTTTATTTTTACAGATATGATTATGGAACTTGCTGTACATGCTCAATTTATTACAACTACATTTAGGCCTGAACTGCTTGAGTCAGCTGACAAATTCTATGGTGTAAAGTTCAGAAATAAGGTAATCACATTTTACATGAAATTTTTAGTGTTTATTATATTTTTTAAATTCTGGTTTTGAAGTTATTAAAATATTGAAAGAAAACTTAGGATATTGTTTATCTAATGAAGATATGTATTCCAAAGAAAAGTCTTTACCTTCCAACACCTATGAAATTTAGCAGTTTTTTTGTAGCATTCATTGTATGAATTTGCTTTGCTTTTACTGGCATTAAGTCACAGTATCTTCCTGTTGGATCTATTCAGTGCTTCTTCAGTGGACGGTCTTTAACCATGAAATACATTCATTTATGTTTGGTTAAGCTATACAACTTCCCTGGTGTTTTCTATCCTTAAGATTCTTTAATAAAATAGCAAATAATATAAACTAAACAGAAAGGTAGTTCAGATATATAGGCATAATTAAGTCTTCAGAGCATTAAAATACACAATGTTTTTTAAACTCATACATAATACAAGCACCAGTACAAATAAAGGTTTTATTAGTCAGTGTTTCAGAATCATTTCACTTGATATGTAAAATTTATTTGTGATATGCTATATATTTTAAATATTACTCTGTCCATTTCATTTATTTTTTTTAGTTGTTTATTTTTACTCTGTTCATTCCAGACACTGACATTCCTTTATGATTTAATGAATTTTGTTTTTAATTAATCTTTATTGTTCTTCAGGTTAGTCATATTGATGTGATCACAGCAGAAATGGCCAAAGACTTTGTCGAAGATGATACCACTCATGGTTAATTGGAAAATATTGCCCACTGGTTTGGAAGATGTGTATAATATGATTCTCATACCCAGAAGCTGTAAATTTAAACCTGAATATTTGGTTGTTATTAATAGTTTTCAAACTTAGAACATACATAGTCCTTTTATATTTCTGTCTTTGTATTTTATAAGAAACTCTGTAATGTTACATTTCTACTTATCGTTTAAGAAATTTATTTCCCACACAATTTTTTGTAAAGTGTCCTCCTGCATCTTTTGAAACATGCTAAATATTCTTTCCTAATTATTTTATCAATTATGCTGCCTCTTTTTTTATAGCTTCAATTAAATTGGTTTTATGACTAATTTAATACTTTAAGTAAAGGCTTTTTATTTGTTGTACTAATTAGAAACAAATTTAAAAAGAAGTATTTCTTAAATGTCTACCTTTTATTTTGCCTAAGAAAAAATCGATTTCACCTAAAAGATACAGTTTCATATTTTGTTCATTACATCAGTGGTTTACATTCTGAGCTCATGTTTGACTCCTTGAAAAACTTTTAAAAATATATCCCTGCTGGGATCCTTCCCCAGGCCAGTTGAATCAAAATCTTAAGAGAGTAGGATCCTGGGACCAGCAGTTGGTGTAATGGCTATGTCACTAGACTCCCATGTAGTCGACCGCTGTTTGAGTGCTGGACCTGGTAACTTAAACTCACACTGGGAGTGTGTGCATGCATGCCCAAGATCCCAAGAGGAGAATGGAGGAGAAGGGATTGCGCATGGCCATCCCCCCTGGGGGGTGATTTCTCGCTTTCTGTCTCTCTGTCAAGCACACGTGCCCTATAGGAAAAACACTCTCAAAGGAGAAAGAGAGAATGGGATGCCAAGTCATTGCAATTTTGAAAGTTCCTCCAGGTGATTCTGACTTTCAGTGAGTTAGAACTCCTGCTTTAACTCGATCTCACAGTTCTTTGAAAATTAATTTTAAGATGGCAGTGTATTGTTTGTCCTTGGAAAATAATCAAATTTCATCAGTCCGAGGTTGCACAAGCATTCCCTGGGCAGGTGTTTTTGGAGAAGTCCTTGTGTCAGGTTATAATGATCTTCAGCAAAATGCTGGGTGAATGTGCATTCATGCTCCAAATCCCAACCGTATGCAGAAATGGGGGAGAAGGGATTGTGGCATGACCCTTCTCTATTGGGGATGCTTTCCCTTCCTCCCTCTCTCTGTCAAGCCTATGTGCCCTCTGGCAATTTTTTAAAAAATTGCATTCACTTTGGGCTTTCATTTGGTTAGCAGAATCTGTAGTTTTAATGTTCAGTATGTTATTTTATACTCTATAGCTTTGAAATGTATAACATCTGTAATTGAGAATTTGGTATAAGTTTTACAACTTAATCACAGTTATATAATCATAATAGCTAATATTTCAAATGTATTTCCTATACATCTACACAAGCATTATTATGTGTCACTAGATACCTATGGAGATTTAAATGATTGATGTTATAAGTTTATGATCAATAGCTTTGCTCTGAGATGACCAGTCGTCTATTACATAGAATTTAGTAGATGGTAAAGTCCATCTAAGACTCAAAGGGATATTGTTATGAGCATATTATTATTCTAGAACTTCTTAGTATTGTTCTTAAGCCTCTCTCCAGGGTATGAGTATAATCAAACTCCAGTGAATTTTTTAACAATAAGCACCTAAATAATGAAACAATATAAGTGTTTTTTTAAAACCCATATTCTTTGCTATATCTTAGTCATGAAATTATTTATTTTAAAATTTTATTTTGTAACAGAGGGAAGGAGGGAGGGGTGGACCTCTAGCAGGTCTTGCCATGTGACAGTAGCCTGCCCTCCGCTTGTTTTTCCCCAGCCTTCTAGCCAGTTAAGATCTCAGGTTTGCCTTTTGTATTCAAATTACCTCGGATCTGAACCATAAGCCTTTCTGTCCGGCTCCAGTATCAGACAGTGGCCCCTGCTTCTTGCACCATGGCAGTTGGGCCGTGAGTTTATTAGTTAACATGAAATTAGAAAACTGAAACTGGTAGGCACACTTAGTGATCCCAGAAGGAGGAAGGACAGAAATTCACTCAAAGAATTAGCCATTGATTCACTAGAAAATTGAAGTAAGTTCTGTAAGGCTGAATAATCCTTTTCCCAGAGATTTTGTTGATATTGTTAGACTTATTATAGTCGTCATAGTAGATTTGAAGAATATATATTTTTTTAATTTATTTTTTCGAGAAGTTTTTGCTATAGGGCGTGTGCGCTCGCCAGAAAGAGAGATAGAAAGGGAGAAACCCCCCCCCCCCCGGTTGGGGATGGCCATGCCGCAATCCCTTCTCCGTTCTCCTCTCAAGATCTTGGGCACACACGCACAGGTGCCTGGCGGTAAGTTTAAGCCACCGGGTCTGGGACTTGAACTGCAGTTGGCTACATGGGAGTTCAGCGACATAGCCGTTACGCTCACTGCTGGTCCCAAGAATATATATATATATATAGCCTTCCCAACCATATTGCCACTATTAACATTTTGGGATATTTCCTTCAAATATTAATAGAAAGTTTTATAAGCCTTTTTGCAGAAGCTATCCTTGTGTCAGATTATAATGGTTTTTATTAAGTGGTCTGTTTTGTTTTTATTCCCAGAGGCCATGTGTGTTTACCACAGAGAGAAAAAGGGAGAGGGGAAAAAAACATCTCCCAGTGAGGCATGCTCATGCTGTGGCCCATTTCTCTATTCTGTCAAGATTTAGAGCATATACACCTGATGTGGTTTTCAAGTTGCTGGAGCTGGGACTCTTTTTTTTTTTTTTTTTTGAGAGGTTTTTGCTATAGGGTGCATTCACTCACCAGAAAAACAGAGAGAGACAGAAAGCAAGAAATCACCCCCAGGGGGGATGGCCGCGCCGCAATTCCTTCTCCAGCATTCTCATTCTCCTCTTGGGGGCACACACACGCCCGGCATGGGTTTAAGCCACCGGCTCCGAGACTTGAACTGCAGTTGACTACATGGGAGTCCAGCAAAATAGCCATTAGGCCAACTGCTGGTCCCGGAGCTGGGACTCTTAACTGTGCAATTAGCTTTGTGAAATCCAACTCTTAACCAATAGCCTGTAGGGCCAGTCCTCTTTTTTAGTTATTTATGCTAGGTATATAAATTTATTTCCTAGGGTTTTCACTTAGTAATTCAGTATAAAATATTCCTCTGTTTAAATTCTTCAGAAGCAAAATTCTAGTAGTCTTAAAATACTCTTATCAAATAGAAGTAGCGTAATTAAAGGCTATCCCAGTAGCACAGTGGTAAAGTGCTGTTCATAAACAATCCCACATGGCTGACTGGTTTGAATCCTGGGTCTAGTAGCTTGACAAACATGCTGGGCATATGCATATGTGTGCCCAAAACCTTGGTGTGAGGGACCAGTGGAGGAAAAAGGATTGCGGCATGACCACCCCTCATTGAGAAGTTCTCTCTCTCTCTCTGACAAGTGTACATGCCATCTGATGGTTAAAAAAGTGTAATTTCCCGAACTTGTTGGCTGCTTAAGTTGTTTTTCTTTTGACTGTAGTGCTGAAAACTGATGAATATTCTTAACACATGAACTTTCAGAAATTTAGGATTGTTTTCCGAAGATAGATTCCAGAGTAAGAAGGTTTATAAAATCTGTGTAATATTATTATTTTTTTTTAAAAGAAAATACGGAATTATTAGTATAAATGGGTTAGTGATTTCACGTAGCAGTTTTCCTGGAAAATGACGTAGAAATAATTATTTGGGTTGTTTTTTTTTTTTTTTTGGAGAGGTTTTTTTGCTATAGGGCGCGTGTGCTCGCCAGACAGACACAGAGAGACAGAAAGTGAGAAATCACCCGCCAGAGGGGATAGTCACGCTGCAATCCCTTCTCCTCCATTCTCCTCTCCGGATCTTGGGCACACACGCACACGCGCCCGGTGTGAGTTTTAAGTCACTGGGTCCAGGACGCGAACCGCAGTCGACTGCGTGGGAGTCCAGTGACATAGCCATTATACTAACTGCTGGTTCCCTAAAAATGATGTAGAAATAATTATTTTAATCTGAATAGATAAATTGTCAGGAAAGTCATGATGCATTTTACATAGAAAAACATCTTAACTTTTGTAGTGACCCAGTAGTTATTGTAATAGAAATGGGGGGGAAGGTTAAAGCTTAATTTTGGAAGATTTATTATTTAAGAAAGATTTTTGTGATAGGGTGTGCACACTCACCAGAGAGAGAGGGAAAGTGAGAAATCAACCGCCCTAGGGGAGATGACCATGTCTCAGTCTCTTCTCTGTTGTCCTCTTAGGATTTGGGACATGCAAGCACACATGCATGGTATGAATTTCAAGCCTCCGGGTCCAGGGCTTGAACCGTGGTCAACCATGTGGGAGTCCAACACCTTAATCACTATGCCACCTACTGGCCCCCTGGAAGGTTTCTGTAACTATTAAAGTAACTGCATACCTATTAAAGAGTTTCTCTCTTAAGACTTTCTAAATAGTAGAATAGTGCTTTTAGCTTCCCACCAAGGGAGAATAATGAGTTTTATGGGAAAGAGAACCAACTTTCATTGTCACCCAGCAGATGTTCTTAAGCAGATCACAGCATCTAGGTGCTGGGATGATTGCCACAGAGGTACAGAAAGTACGTTCTGTCTTAGGGTTTGTAATAGTAGAAACAGTCTTGTGTTCTTCACCTTTTACTCAGGCATGTTCTGGAACATCTTAAATAACCCAGCTTGCATATGTGTGCTGAATCTGGCGCATTAAGCAGGGGAAGAGTAAAGGGAAACTGGGGGTCATCAAAACGGGCATGACGTATGTTTCTCTGGTTTTCTATGCAAAACTGCGCCATGATTTTCCTGATGACCCAGTAGGTGCACGTTAATGCAATTATGGTGACAGTGGGGCCAACAGGTGGTGTTGTGGTTAAGGAGCTGGATCCCGCGTCTGTCTCTGGTTCAAGTCCTGGGCCCAGTGTGTGAAAACCACATTGAGGACATATGCGTGCATGCCCAAAATCCTGAGAGGAAAATGGAGTTTGACATGGAAACTGAGGCTTTCTCCTCCTTCCTAGAGGGCTTTTTTTC